GGAAAAAATGATGAGAAATGGAAAAAATGGAAATAAAGTCTTTGTAAATAGGGAAGGGTGGAGGGCGTGAAGGGAGGGCTAGGAATGGGGAAAGATAAGAACCAAGATGCATTATGTAAAAGTACAATTCCCAATGAGAAATGTAATTGTGTTGTATACCTACAATGTACCAATAGAAGAATTTAATACAAAAAAAAATGGGCATCTGCAATGAATAGACACTTCTCAGATCAAGAAATACAGCCAAGAAATACATGAAAAAATGTTCAACATCACTGGCCATTTGAGATATGCAAATTAAAACAACACTGAGATTCCACCTTACTCCAGAAAGAATTCCTATCATCAAAAAATAACCAGTAACAAATGGTGCAGATGCTGTTGAGAAAAAGGAAGCCTTCTTCATTGTTGGTGGAAGTGTAACCTGGTACAACCACTACAGAAATCAGTACAGAGATTCTTCAAAAAACTAAAAATAGAAAATCCCTTTGACCTAGTTATTTCCCTTCTAGGTATCTTCTAGAAATAACTAAAAGACATATCACAGTGATATATGCATGCTCATGTTTACAGTAGCAAAATTCATAATACCTAAATCTTGGAAGCAGCCTATATGTCCACCAATAGATAAATAAATAAAGAAAGTATAGTTTTTCCTCACAATGACAATAACAAAGGATAAACTTAAGTCATTTGTAGGAAAACAGATGTACCTCAAGTCCATAATGTTAAGTAAATCAGACACACAAGCTTAAATATTGCATGGTTTCTTTTACATGAGAAACTCAACATATAAATAAAGTGCAAAATAAAAGACTACAGGAAAAAAGGGGAAAAAATTATTATAATCTAGCATGGACAATGTACCTGAAAGTGTACCTGATTTGGTATAATTGTCTTAAATGTTTTATATGTTTTTCTCATCTCTTAGTCTTTTAATCTCTATTTATGTTAATTAACTTGCTAATAAAAACTTATAAATTAATGAATCTGATGTTGACCCAAAAAATTTAAGTCAGGAAAAATTTTAATCCTGAATTTTGTATTTCTTGATTGTATATGAAATACCAGTAATTCTGTGAACAGATTTGATATTGATTCCTGATCCTTTGTATATGGCTAATTTTCTAAACATTTCTAAAGATTTTTAAATCTTATTTCACTTGTATGTTTTGAAAATTTTACAATTATGTACCCTGATGTGGAGAGCTTTTAATTTATTACATAAGGTACTTTATAGGCCTATTAAATCTACCAATAGGCTAGTGGAATACAATTATATATGTGAGAACATATAGAGAGGTCTAAAAAAAAATTTATCAGTGGTGGTAAAATCTAGAGGTCAAGATTTCAGATAGTTTTGTTTCTTCTTTTTTGTCCCTCTCTAACTTTTCTGCAATAAGTATATTTAGCTATCTGTTTAGGACACATTCATTAGCCTGGTACCTTCTGATTTAATTTCATTAGCCTAAATATTCACAGATCTACTGCTAAGAAAAGTCCCAGCTTAGTCCTGGGGTGTGGCTCAGTGGAACAGTGCTTGCCTAGCCTCTGTGAGGCCCTGGATTTGATCCCTACGAAAGAAAGAAGGAAAGAAGGAAAGGAAGAAAGGAAGAAAGGAAGAAAGGAAGGGAGGGAGGGAGGGAAAGAGAGAGAGAGAAAGAAAGAAAGAAAGAAAAAGAAAAGAAAACTAAAGAAAAGAAAAGAAAGAACTTGAATTTTATTTGGTGGTTATTTCAATCTAGCTTTCTAAATATTTCACTATAAGAGTGTTCTTTCATACACTATAGACCTTAATTTTCACTTCTTTACAAAAACTGGCTTGTGTTTATACATCAAAAAATAAGGTTTTTCCTGATGACACAGTCATCTATGCAAAAAGACATTTAAAAAGTGTAGATTACTTTTACCCACTTGTTTTTCTTGAACATTTGGAGTTACATCATAGAGTTCATATTGTATAAGCAAATTAGCACTTTGCTGGAGTTTCAGCAGGCAGCAATTCTGAGAACTTTTGCAAATACTGCTGTAACATTTGAATGTTTGTGAAAGATAATGCATCCTGACAATAGCAAAGGTTCTTATAAACTTCTATTAAGAAATTTCCTTAAAATGCACCTGGGAAGTACGTTTGTTTTAACCTAATGATTCTCAGACTCCCTTCACCCTACCACAGACTTTTTTCACTTCAAGTCACTCTTTAGGGAGCTAGCAACTCCCTTGACTATAAAATGTTTTGGCTTATTTATTGATTGGTTTCTGTTTTTCCTTTTTGTTCTATTTTCTAAATTTCTTTTTTGGTTCTGGGTTTGAAACCAGAGCCTTGTGAATGAATGCTAGGCAAGTGCTCTACCACTAAGCTACATCTCCAATCTTTATCTTCTAATTATTAATGACAGAACTGACAAATGGCACTAAGCCCTGCACTAGTCAGCCTTAAAAGGTATAGTAACTTGAGCTAGGCATAGTATTACATGCCTCTAAACCAGCATTCTGGGAGGCTGAGGCAGGAAGACCTCATGTTCAAGCTCATACAGGACAACTTAGCAAGACCTAGTTTCAAAATAAAAAAATAATAAAAGGTCTGAGGTTGTAGAACAGTGTGAATGCCCTGAGTTCAATCCTCAATACTAAAAAAAAGGAGTGGTAACTCAAATTTATAAAGACTCATACTCATGAAATTCATAGTAACTCAAATTCACAGACAGTATAATAGTTGTTCCCAGAGGCTGAGAGAAGAGGGAATAAGGATATATTTAATAGATATGGGTATGAAATTTGTTTGGGGAAAAATTAAAAAGTTCTGAGATGGATAGTGAGTGCTGGTTCCTCAGCAATGTGAATGTATTTGGTGTCACTAAACTGTATATTTTAAAATGTTTAAAATGTCCTACATTTTTAGTGTAAATGTAAACTAGTACATCCACTATGGAAATCAGTATGGAGACTCCTAAAAATATTAAAAATACAAAGAACATTTGACCCAGCTATACCACTCCTGGGTGTAGCACCAAAAGAATTAAAGACAGCATATTATAGTGATACATGCATACCTATGTGCAATACATAACAGTTAAACTGTAGAGATAGCCTACATACCTGTCAATAGATGAATGAATTAGGAAAGTGTGACATATATAGACAATGAAAATATTCAGCCATAAAGAAAAACTAAATTATATCATTGGCAAAAAAATGGATGGAACTGGAAACCATGTTTAAGAAGGCACTCAGAAAATTAAATGTCATATTTTCTTATATGAGAAACCTAAAATATAAATACATGAATACGGGAGAGAATATAGAAAACTAGAAGGCAGACTCTTAGAAAAGAAGAAGGGAATCAGGGAAGGAAATGGTATAAAGAGATTGAAAATGATCAACATATGTTTATACATGTACTAATTCCCCCAATGAACATGATTCTGTATTACAAATATGCATAAATTAAAAATTGTTAAAATGGTAAATATTATGTATATTTTACCATGGAAAAGTATTCCACTATAGTTGTAATCACATTTCAACCTGCTTTTGACTTTACTAAAGACTACTGCACAAAATTTAATTTCCTAGCCCAAGTCCTACTACTTCCACCCATCTTCACACCTACATCAACTTTACATTATTAGAGTTGGACAATGGGGTGGAAGCAAATGGTGATAAGTGGAGCAGCCCGGGTGGAAACATGCAGAAAGGAGCTGGAGGGAAGCAGGAAAGACAGGGCTTCTTTATCTTGACACTCATTTCTCTTATTCTTATGATCCTTCCTAAATTTTCTGATCCCGAAGACACTCATAATATCTTGATAATATGGTAGATCTAGCTTAAACAGTTGTTACTTAACTGATCACCATCTCTGGAACCTGCTTCAACAACATCACAGTCCAACATCCTACTGTCTGTCAGAAACCCTTACAATGCCCTAGCAACGTAGAAGCCAAACATGTAACTTCTAAGTTGGGTAAAAGTTTTATAGCAATTCACTAAATCAATTAAGACCAATCTTAACACTATACTTTCTCTTCTTTCCCATACTCTAGATAGAAGTACCCTATCCCAAAATATCCACATTAGAATGAATTCTCAGTAGAAAAAATTTTTACATACCTTCTGTGTCTATCACATGCTTGAGATGTAGCTCTGTTGTAGAGCACTAACCTATGTGAGACTCTTAGTTTGATCCCCATCACCATCATCACCACCACCACACACACACACACACACACACACACACACACATCAGTCTGCTCCTTGTTCATCAGATCAAACTCATCTAAAACGAATTTCACCTTTTTACCTTAACACATACCTGAAGCTGAAGTCATGTTAATAGTATCTCCATTTGCTCCAGAAGAATATTTATCCTGTAAAGGAAAGATGATCAATTTACTTTAAATAATACAAATGTATCATCTATCTCTTAAAGAGGAAAAAATTACAGTAATTCCCCTTTCCCATGGGGGAATATATTCTAAGACACCTACTGGATGCCCAAAACCATGGCATACATGTGCATACATGTGTGCACACATATACATAGACATATATACACTATTTTTCCTATACACAGTTATGATAGTTTAATTTATAAATTAGGTACAGTAAGAGATTAATGATAATGAATAAAATACAAAAGTTATAACACACACTAAATAAATTATGTAAATGTGTTCTCTCAAAATATCTCACTCCACTGTACTTATCCTTGTGAGGATGTGAGATGATGTAGTATCTCTGAAACAGGATGAGGTGAATGACACAGACATTATGTTGTAGTATTAAGCCTTCTGACAATCTGTCAGGAGGATCAGCCACTCCACATGATCATGTATCATCAACCTATGACAGTGTCAAAGCAAGTAGCATTTACAGCATGAATACACCAGAAAGGGGATAACTCACATTAGGTGGGACAAAGCAGGATGGCAGGATACCTTATCATACTACTCAGAATAGCATGCAATTTAAAACTAACGAATTATTTCTGAAATTTTCCATTTAATACTTTTGGACCATTGCTGACTAAGATAATTGAAACCATGGCAATCAAAATCATGGCTAAAGGGAGACTACTGTGTAACAACTGAGTTTAGTTCAAGATAAATCAAGGTAGACAGTAAAGTTTTCTAAACCACTGGATATTCTTTTAATTATTTCAAGACACATTTACTTTAGCATTGCATGTATAACATATTTAATATAGCATTTAAAAGAGTAGTGTAGCCAGGCACCAAATTCTGTGGGACCCTCATTTCTGTAAATAGTTTCACTAGAGCTCAGCCATCCTCATTCACCTATGTATGCCTGTGGCTACTCTTACAGTAAAACAGCAAAGTTGTTGTCAGGCCTGCCCTAAACCAACAGGAAAAAGAAAACAGGCTGCTTTCAGCAAACAACAGCAGCTTCCCAGTAAATAGGGCAAATGGATTCAAAATGTGGTTTATAACGCTCCTGGTATTGAGAGGCCCAGTAACTGTGTACACACCTGAGCAGACCATCCTTGGGCATCCAAGTCATAAATATTTTATCCCAGATTTCCTAGCCCCTTCAATACCTATATAAGCCTAATTCCTTTCCCAGTTAGTTAATAATATCTGTCTCTCCTGGTGTTAGTCCATCCACTCACATATGAGATCTCTCCCAGCTAGCTGCCATTCTCTCTCTCTCCCAATGTTGGCCTATCCACACATGGATGTGATAAGCTTGGCTTTTCCCAGCTAGCTGCTAAAATCTCCTCTGATTTTTAGTCCCTGTTAACTGGAATAAACTTTCCTTTCAAAAGCCTATTGACAAGTGGATTCTTTATAACAGTTGTGGGTTGAGATTGTGAGGCCTGCAAAGTCTCTATGATTTACTATTTGGCACTTTATCTAAAGGGTTTTCTGATACCTGACTTAAAAAATCACCCATATACTTGAAAAGTATAATCAAATACTATTATATAAATACAATCTGAGGCTATCATGCCTCTTCATCATAGTCTGCCCTCCTGACGTAGGGCAGTGGTGGTGAACCTATGGCACATGTGTCGCAGTGGGCTGTTTGTATCACTAAAAGGTTCACCTCACTGCTGTAGAGTGTACTTCTTTACCTGCTTTTTACTTGGCCCAAACTCACTGCAGAGCCTCTTTCAAAGAAATAAAACTTTGCTACCATTTGTACTTGTCTTAATTCTTTTGCTCAAGACAGAAAGAACCTAGAAACTTCCTCCCAAAGGAAACTCCAGCACCTCAAAATCCAGTCATTTATTTGGCTCAGCTAGTCAGGAGAGGAGGCAAGGCCCTTTGGGCACATTTTTTGCTTCTCTCTAAAATGACCTCATTTTTCTATTCTCCATGATACTTTGTTCAGCTTTCTCACCCTTTTGGGGGAAAACAGCTGTTGGTAACTTGGTCCTTCTACCCCAGTTTACTCCTTTTTGTGCTCAAAGTCTCATCGGCACTTTTTCCCTAAATAGGACTTTTCTTTCACAGGGCATTATTTCATGCTAGTTAGTTCCATCTTGGTTCGTCACATGAATCAGCTACAGCGGGGTTCCACCATGTTTGCTTTCAAGCAACCTCATAGTCACTGAAAAATCGCATCCACGTAGATAGGAGCTAAGCCTCTGATTTTAGAGAACATGTAGGTTTCCTTCTTCTTTTCAATTAGGCTAGATCCCTTGTTTCTTCTAAAAAAATGCAAGTAATTTAGAAACATTTGCTTTTTGGCCTAAACAGAACAAAAGAACAGCTAGTAGAGCTTAACTCAGGTGACTATGAGTCATTCTCAGGATTTTTAAAGGTTTTTTTTTTTTTGAGATGCAGATGAAATCAACACTGAGATTCCATCTCCAAAAAGAATGGCTACTATCAAGAAATCAACCAAGTAACAAATGCTGACAGGGCTGTGCGGAGGAAGGACTCCTTCTCCACTGTTGGTGGGAGTGTAGACTGGTGCAACCACTATGGAAATCAGTGTGGAAATTCCTCAAAAAAACTAAGATTAGAAGTCTCAGTTGATCCTGCAATTCCCCTGCTGGGTATGTTCCCAAAAGAATTAAAACCATCATACTATAGCGACATATGCACACCCATGTTTATAGCAACACAGTTTGTAATAGCTAAATCTTGGAAACAGCCCAGAGCCCATTAACTGATGAATGGATAAAGATGTGGGTTTTTTTAATAAAATGGAGTATTACTCAGCCATGAAGATAAACTTGAGACATTTATAGCTAAATGGATGCACCTTGAGGCCATACTCATGAGTGAAATAAATAGGACACACATGTATAAATACCAAATCATTTCTCCAGTGTGAGAAATTGAAGGTGTAAATGAGGACCAAAATGTACAACAGATAATGTGAAACAGGAAGAAAATGTTTAAAGGGAAAGAGGAAGGGGAGGCAGGGGAAAGGAAAGAAAGGAAAGAAAAAATTAAAAGTAAGAAGGAAAAAATGGAAACAAAGCTTATGTATATGAGGGGTGGAGGGGTTGAAGGGAGGGCAGGGGAATGGGAAAAAATAAGAACCAAGATATATCATGTACAGGTACAAATTCTAAATGATGAATGTGATAAGGTATACCTAAATGTACAAATAAACTCAATACAAATTTTTTTTAAAAAAGAAGTTATCATCTCTACTGCCTTAAACAAAGGACCAAAGTTTTTACTATGGGGTAAATGCAACAGATATTGTTTCTCAAGTAGCTCAAAATGCCTAAAAGTCCAGAGACTCGTTTCTCAAGTGGCTCCACCCTGCTTAAGTAGAGCCATCAAGTGGCTCAAACACACTTAAGAGAATTTCAGTGGGGAGACTCCACCCTGATCCCCTAGAAGTTTCAAAGGACTGTGTAGAGCCATCAAGTAGTTCAATCCTCTCTCCCTAAGGAGTTAGTGGACTCCCATATGGAGACAAAAAAGCCTTCAGTAGGGTCTTCTATGCTTCTATGAAAGACATTGGAGTCATCCATCATAGCTTTGGACAGAGTTGTTGGTCTAGTAAATACTTGAGTCTCACAAGGGATGCTTTGTGGGCTCAAATCGGGTCTCCTCCTTCTGCATTGGATACCGTATTAAGGATCTGAGACCTAGGTTCTAGGTAGAGCCATCAAGTGGCTCAACATCCCTATGCTTCTATGAAAGATGCCAGCATCATCCTAGCTTCAGACAAAATGTCTATCTAATGAATACCTGAGTCTCAAAAGGACACTTTGTGGGCTCATCAGGCCTCCTCCTTCTGCGTGGGACACAATCTTAAGGACCTGAGACATAGCTGTCTTCCTCTACAGACCCCAAAACAAGCCATGGGAAACCTCACAAACCATGCCCTACAGATTCCAGACCTTACCACTAGGCACAAAAGCTTGAACAGAAGGGATTTCATTCCACCTTCTATATTTTAAGCAGAAACAGTTTAACTGAAAAATAGCCTCATAATTTAAACTGCCATTCTGTACCCATCTCTCGCCATTTCCTAGTTCATACTCATCTAAACCATGTCAAAACAGTAGATAAGCTCCATCCAGCCCACGCCAGGCACTCCGTGGATGCCAGAGAGAGGTCCTCGGTCTCAGGAAACCCGCCCCATCCAGCCCACGCCAGGCACATCTGTGGACACCAGAGAGAGGTCCCGGGTCATAGGGAACCTGCCACATCCAGCCTGCGCCCATGGCAGTGATCCAATTAGCCACGCGGGTGCCTGCAGGACCCCCACCACCACTCTCCCCATCCCCGCTCCTCTGGCCTCTTGGCTGTACTGCCACCTGGCTCCACACTACAAAGACACAGGGGACAGCAGACCAACAGACCACCGTACAGGGTAAGTTGGAGGGATCATCACCTCTCATCGGAACCTAGACTATCTTCAGGGGAAGGGCAGCTGGAACCGGCAGTAAAGCCTTGCAGAGTTCAACCCTGCAGGAGGACAGGGAGCTCAACTTGGGACTTGCAGCCCGAAATCTGCCTGAATCTCATGAGTCTGCGACTGGCTAGCTGAGACTCATTGACTTATATCTGCACGCTGCTGTCCAGGTTGTCTATTGTGACAGCAGAGACATGCCTGGAAGGAGGCACTTCATTTTCATTTTTATTTATTTCCAAAATTAGTATCATTGGTTTGTTTCTTTTCTCTTATTTTTAATTTTTTTTCCTACACTTTGCAAATTTTTTTCTCCTTTTTTTACTTCTTTCTTTTCTCTTTCCTTTCCCTCTCTTGCACACTCACTCTCTGGCTGTCCCACATTGTACTTCATCTTCCTTTTTATTCCTGTTCTGGCCCTTATTCAGATTTCTTCTTTATTTTTCTTTTATTCTTGTTTTCCTTCTCTTGCCTGTGCCCTCGGGCCTCACTGCTAACCTTCCCCTATCCTTCTACCTAT